CCAGCACCATCAAAATAAATGTATAATTTCATTATTTAATCTACAATTTTTTTGTCAGTTGTGGGGCTTGAACTCTGGGCCTGAGCACTGTCCCTCAGCTCTTCAGCTCAAGGCTAGCGCTCCACTACTTGAGCCACAGCACCACTTCCAGTTTTCTGAGTGGTTTATTGGAGATAAGAGTCTCACGGACTGTCCTGCCCGAGCTGGCTTTCAATCGCAATCCTCAGATCTCAACCTCCTGAGTAGCTAGGATTACAGGAGTGAGCCACTGGTTCCCAGCTTACAGTTTGTATCTGGTAACTGAAAAATTCAAAGGGAATAGTTGATACATTTTTTTGACTCCCTACATAGATTGTTTCTGAACATTAGTTAAGTAGTGTTGAACTAGCCTTGCCCTCAATCTGAAACAACTTAAACCTGGTGTTTGGTAATTCACATTCACAGTGTTTGTGGTCATTTCCCATGATTCCATGTGTCAGTGAAGTAGCTTGTAGAGAAGAGGGTGGGGCCTCCTGATTGATGTATAAGAAGCCCAATGTAATGGGTGGAAGTGTGATTGTTTGTAGTTGTCAGCCCTCCATCACTGGGTGGTTATTAGGCTCTGGTCCTGTTTCCTCCCTCTGCCTACCCAGAGGAGTATTCAGCTGAGACCTTTGGGATAGTACCCATGTGAAACAAGTTACAACTTGGTGACTTATCACTCACTTTTGCTCAGGTGAACACAAACGTTAGTTCCCAGAAGTGTCTTCGAGAATCCATTGGATGGTCTGATATAATTCCTGCCAGGAACATTCTCGTGAATGTGCATGTATTCCCATGTAAAGGTCTGGCTTCAAAGACAAAACAGAGATCAGCAACCTCATTTTACAAATAGACTTTGGGCAGTTCATCTGTATAATGGCAGTTGTAATCCCGTACTTCCTGCCTTCAAAGTGGATGTGGAATTTAAGTAAGATAATGTATGTAAAAGAGCTTTGAGAAGAGACAGGTGCTAGACCAGTGTAGCCAGTATGTTTCAAGAAAAGCTGGCTGCCATGGATGCCAATTTGATGATAATCTCTGAAAACACTAATGGAACCACCTTTTTAAAGGGTCTGCTTAAACTGTTTGACTCCAAATATCAATCATGAAAGAATTCAAACATCTTACCTTTAATTAAGTATTGAAATAGAAGAATCTGGGCATAGTAGCATGTGCCTGTCATAAATTGAGAAGAGTTTGTGTTCAAGCCCCACAACCAACAACAACAACAAAAAGACTGTTTTTAGAGAAGAGTTTGTATATTACCCCAACCACTCATTATTTTGTGTTAACTGCAAATAGCAGAATTAACTACTGCTTGCTTTGTATTTTGAAGAAAACCCCTGTCAGCTAGTATAACTTGTGATCTGGATGTCTGTCTTAAGAATATTTTTCCCCTTTGGTCATTATTTTTGCAGTGAACTTTATATTATAAAGTCACTTTGCCTTTTGGTTTAAGTTTCCTTAAATAAGGTTGCATGCTAAGACTAGAGTACTTTCAAAGTGAGAGTGTGTGTGTTTCACAAACTATATTCTAAATTTTAAGTTGGCACATGTCAGCCTGAAGTGACTCCACTTTTATTTAAATGTGATTTAATGTAGTCTCCAGACCTCCCACAACAGTGTGTTGTCAATAAAGGCACTGTACAGTGAGCTTCCTGGATGCCTTTGTGACCAAGTAAGAAAAACTTACCATTCTGGCAAACTTGGTTAATCACCTGTGGAAAACTAAAGCTAGATCCTTAAATATCACTCTGCACCAAAATCGACTCCAAATGGGACAAAGACCTGGGAGTCAAAGCAGACACCCTGACAACATTACAGGATGGAATAGGAGAAACCCTAGGTCTCCTTGGCACAGGCTGAAATTTTCTTAATAGAGACCCAGAAACACAACAAATCAAAGAAAGGTTGGACAAATGGGATTGCATGAAGCTGCAGAGTTTCTGCATGGCAAAGGATATAGTTAGCAAGATCAATAGAAAGCCCACAGATTGAGAGAAGATCTTCACTAGCCGTACAATGGATAAGGGTCTCATATCTAAAATATACCTGGAACTCAAAAAATTAAATCCAGCTGGGTGCCAGTGGCTCACGCCTATAATCCTAGTTCCTCAGAAGGCTGAGATCTGAGGATCGTGATTCAAAGCCAGCCCAGGCAGGAAAGTCCATGAGACTTTTATCTCCAATAAACCACTAGCAAACTGGAAGTGGTGCTGTGGCTCAAGTGGTAGAACGCTCGCCTTGAGCTGAAGAGCACAGTGATAGTGACCAGGCCCAGACTGACAAAAAAAAAAAAAATTAAATCGCCCAATAACAAATCTTCAAAGAAACAACTGCCTGATAAATAAGTCGGCTAAAGACTTAAAGAGAAACTTCTCTGAAGAGGAAATAAGGATGGCTAATAGACACATAAAGAAATGCTCAACTTCTGTAGCCATAAAAGAAATGCAAATCAAAACAACATTGAGATTCCACCTCACCCCAGTTAGAATGGCTATAATCAAGAACTCTAATAACCACAGATGCTGCAGGGGATATGGCCAGAAGGGAACCTTACTGCATTGTTGGTGGGAGTGTAAACTTGTTCAGACACTTTGGAAAGTAGTATGGAGGTTCCTCAAAAGACTCCACATAGAGCTCCCCTTTGACTCAGCAATCCCACTTTTGGGCATTTACCGAAATGATCACAAACAAGACCATACTAAGGCTACCAGCACAACATGTTTATTGCAGCATTATTTACCATAGCTAAGATATGGAACCAACCCAGATGCCCCTCAGTAGATGAATGGATGAAGAAAATGTGATATATATATATATATATACACACACACACACACACACACACACACACACACATATATACATATACATATATATGAGAAAGAATGGCATTGCCCCATTTGTTAGGAAATGGAAAGCTTGGAACAAATTAATACTAAGTGAAGTAAGCCAGGCCCAAAGAAACATAGGTCCCATGGTTTCCCATGGTTTTCCATATTTGCCATAACTAGCATATGTCTGGGACAAGTACAAAAGGTCAAAAGCTATGTACGTCTGACCAGATAAGATGAAGCTAAGCAAAATGAACCCCAAGATAGGGACACAAATGTTTTTTTTTCCTTGCTTGCTATTGTTTCTAACATATTTATAAGGTACCATGTGATTTTTTTTTTGTTGCTTTGAATTTTCCTTCCCTTCTGAATAACCCCTGTTTTCACTTTATTTGATGGTGGTATAATTTGGGGAGGGGAAGGGAAAAAACAAAATGTTTAAATAGGGATACAGGTTGACCCTTTGCAACAATAAGATGTACAAGACACTATTTGAAAAACGAACTTTACAATTTAGGTGGGGGGGGGGAGTATAGTGGAGGAGCTGGGCGGGAAGGGATGGTAGGGGAAAAACAAAGGAGGAGGCAACAATGCTTGATAAGAAATGTAATCATTACCTTGCTCATGTAACTATAACCTCTCTGTATAGTATTTTCACAATAAAAAGCTTATTAAATAAAAAAGAATAAAACAAAAAGAAAAACTCACCATTAATTACATGCATCCTAAGAAGATAAAGACCTTTGGTGGTAGGGAGGAGGTCCAGTGTCACTGCACCCCATTGGACTGCAAGTTGCTAAGGTCCCATCTACCTCTAAGGTCCAGCAGTGCTGACTGCAGAGAATCCCAGCTAACAAAACAGCTGCACATCTAGGATCCCTTTCTGATGTTTCTGATAAACTGCATATGGCAAGGCTGAGGCCCTGCCCAGCAGGACAGGTCCTCCAAGTCTTCACTGGGCCAGCCCTTACTTGGCCCAGAAGTAGAGTGTGGTGCCACTTCAGCTCTCACAATGTCTTTTTAACTCACCATCCTTTGCCATCACCAGTGACCTTCTCTTGACTTTCTTGGGCATCCATGTGAGCATGCACATACTACTCACACATACACTTCTGCAGCACACCTGACTCATCTCTGGAGGGCCTTCCCACCCCCAGCTCAGAATGTAATAACTGGTGGGTGTTTAGATTGCCTTATGTTGAAGATGTGTCAGACAGCAAGCTGCATTTTGACAAGGCCTTTCTGAAGACAGTGCCTTCTTCAAGGGGTGGATGGAAATTTTAGGCACTATGGTACACCATGGGGGTGGGAATGGAGTTTGAATAAGGAGGTCCTTGGGTACTTTTCAAATCACCCAAAGGAGGAAGAAAGCTGTGTATTACCAACCTACAAGCCCTCATCCAAAAAATGAAAGCCAGGCGATTTAGAAAATTAAGCCATAGGTGCTAGCAAGATGGAACAGTCACTTCATGCCAGCACCTAGAATGAGATCAGATGCTGTGTGGGACATGTAAACATTTGTGTGCACATGAAGTTGGATGAGGATTGTAGTTCTGACAAGGGATATAACTACAAGAAATCTGAGCTGGTCAAGTTTTATGGGCAGAGTAACTCAGCTAACTGTTAAAGTTTTTAGGATTGCAGAATTGGCGCCTAATCATTTACAATACTTACCAAGCATTACAGTGTGCTAGGCACAATGTTAAGTGAGCACTTGACTCATGTAAACCTGTTTACTTCTCTTAAGGGAGAAAGAAAGTATTAGCACCCCCATTTACTGATTCTTTCTCAACCTTCCTTTAAAAAACCAAGTGACCACCATATGCTAAGGGGAAAGAGCAAAACATAAGTCTAATCTCCACCTAAAGTTGCACTCAGTTATGTGGAAGCCAGATGGGAGGCCCAGACATTACCTCCCACAAGGCCAGGAACAGTGAGGGGCCTGTGCTGCCTGTGCATCTGAAAATGTGTCCCAGGATGGTGCTTGGCCAGCTCCATCTTCCAGGCAGAAAAGCCAGTGGCCAAGAATGGCAGAGTAAAGGTTAAGGTCAGCAGTTCTCAAGTGCTTTTGACCCCTCGGCTCCCTGAGGCCCCTTCTGTAGTTTGCTTTAATATAGCCCTCTCTTCTTTCATCTCTTACAGAACGCCCATCTCAGCTTTCTCACAAGACAACATCTATGAAGTTCAGCCACCAAGGGTAGACAGAAAATCTACAGAGATCTTCCAAGCCCACATCCAGGCCAGCTATGGTATCATGCAGCCCCTAGGGAGAGAGGATACTTCCATGTACCGAGAATACATCAGAAACCGCTACCTGTGAGGGGACGGAGGGCAGGGCCACCCAGTGTCCCTGCGAAGGAGCAAGAACATCTGCAAGAAAGGCTTAGATTACTCTCTTGTCTCATCTCCAAAGGTAATTTCCCAGAAGACCTTGCATCTGAAGCTTTTCATTGTTTTGTACCATGCAAATGAAAAATTATATAAGTAGTAAAGAAATGACTGACTATGCTGCTAGTGTTGCCTTTGCCTTTTGTGAATGTGGTCAAGGTACAGTCACAGCATTACATTTTGATATGTTCTGGGACTTTGTAAGCCTGCTGTGTCCCCAGCTCTAGGCAATGTCTAAGGATGTCACAGTCATCAAACTAGGCCAAAGTTAACAGCTTTAAATTTATTCTCATGTTTTTTATGTTAACCGTATAATTCGATCAAAAATGCCATTACTCAGAAATCCCTTTTCTTAGGAAATAAATGTTTTTCAATGGTTTAGGAAAAAAGACGATCGAGCAAGTGGAGGGAAGCAATTGGTAACTAGTAAATCTTAGTAGTAGTTCTTTGAACTAGTCTAACAATGTATCTGCAAGTATAGAGTTATATCAAATCAAAGCATTAATTTTGGCACAATGACATAATTTGTAATCCTAATACTTGAAAAGCAGATGTAAGAAGATTACAAATTCAAGGCCAGTCTGAGTTACATAGTGAGACCCTGTATCAACAAGATAAATAAATGAATGAGAGAGAGAGAGAATAAAACATTATAAAATTGTTATCCTAAATAACTTGTGGTATACATCTACAACATAATTTGGTATGTAGGAAGGTAGGGACTGGTCACATACAGGACTGGTTTGATCTCTGTATAGTCAGACCCTAATGTAACAACTTCCTGGATTTGCTAACCATTTGACAGAATGAACTTCAGTTCCTTTTGTGTAAGCTCATATTACAAATTGTTTCAGTTCTCTCTCTACCCCCCATAGAGAAGAGAACCAAACTATCCAATGGGAAAAGGAAAACTGGTTAGCCAAAGAGACCTGGAAAGTATTGGCAACCCTGAAATGCTAGAATTCTGTTGAAGGTCCTACATTGTAAACCAGAGTTAAATCTCCACTTATCCTGAAGTCAAGGTTTCAAGGTAAAAGGGATTTTGTGTTGGAGCAGTTTTGATCTCTAACACAGTAGCTTATTGTGGGATTGCATAGGAATCTCCCCAAGTCCCAGAATAATTCCCAAGTTGCTACCAAGGTGACAATTATAGATCAGATATTAAGCTTCATTTTTAAACTTATTTTTAACATGTCTTCTGGAAGCCCACCTACAATAATGAGAATGAACTTTATACTAAGACCTCTAAGAGGATCTGGAATGCAGATCTTTTGTTTTGTTTTGTTTTGTTTATTGTTGTTGTAGAGTTGATATACAAAAGGGTTACAGTTATATGAATCAGGTGATGAGTACAATTCTTTTTTGAATCATGTCTCCCCTCTCTCCCAGTTTTTCCTTTCTGATCCAACCCACAAGATACACAGTTCATTTTTCACATAGTGTCTAGGAGGTACCATACTTGTTCCAGCTTTTCTGTGCCCCTCCCCCCATTGCCCTCCCAAATACAAACAAACTAAACAAGACAAAAGGAAAAGAAAGCAAAAATAGCAACAATGGCAACTAAAAATGTATCCTGTTTCCTTTTGGAGTTCATTTCATAAAATATTATTTATTATTATTTTGTCAGATATGGAGCTTAAACTCAGAACCTGGGTGCTTTCCCTAAGTCTCTTTGTGCTCAAGCCACAGTACCACTTCCAGTTTTTGAGTGGTTAATTGGAGATAAGTTTCACAGGGACTTTCCTGCCCAGCCCAGCTTAGAACTGCGATCCTCAGATCTCAGCCTCCTTAAAAGCTAGGATTGACATTGCCCCATTTGCAAGGAAGTGGAAAGACTTGGAAAAAATATTAAGTGAAGTAAGTCAGATGCAAAGAAACACAGGCTGCATGGTTTCCCTACTTGTAATAACATAGAATATGTCTAGGATATTCTTAGCAGAGGATCACAGTGGCTCAATACCTATGTGCATATGACCATATAAAATGATACTTATTGAAATGAGCTCCAAGAACTGGAAAGAAGAGGGTTTTTTGGTGTACTGTTTATAGTTGTTTCTTTTTTCTTTCTTTTACTTTTTCCTTTGGCTTATTCCCTTTTGATACTGCTTTTCATTTCTGTACCCATTGCCTTGTACATAAGTTTGTCTGATTTGGGGAAGGGAAGGGGAATCACAGAAATGGTGGGACAAAGGGTGAACCAGTGCAGCAGTGATATTTACTAGACACTATGTTGAAAATGAACTTTACAGCTTGGCAGGGAGAAGGGGGGCGGGGGAAGTGTGAGAAAATGAGGGAGGAGTAACTTTGTTCAAAAGAAATGTACCCATTACCTTACTTATGTAACTTGTCTATACATCACCTTTACAATAAATTTTTTTTTAAAAAAAAAGAGTTTCGTGGGGGCTTTTCTGCCTAGTCCAGCTTTAAACTGCAATCTTCAGATCTCAGCCTCCTGAGATCTTACAGATGCAAACCACTTTTGCCTAGCCATAAAGTATTGCTTTATATGATGACCATATACACATAGCTATTGAATCTTTGTCAACCACTCCTATGCATATCCTCCTTTGGCCTCAGTGTGTGAATATATAGAGTCCTGTACAATTTATCATGTTCCATTTTGTGTGTGTGTGTAATTTAATCATTCAGTGTGTTTACTTGTAGATTTATAGGCACATTCTAGTTACCATGCAGCCTATGTTTCTTTGGCTCTGGCTTACTTCACTTAATGTAATTATTTACCATAGCCAAGATATGGAATCAACCCAGATGTCCCTCAGTGGACAAATACAGTGGACAAAGAAAATATGGTATATATACACAATGGAATTCTACTCATCTGTCAGAAAGAATGATATTTGCCATTCCTCAGGAAATGGAAAGACTTGGAAAAAAATTAAGCGAAGTAAGTCAAATCTTCTTTTATAAACAATCTGAATGTTTATAAAATAATACTGGGGATTGAACCCAGGGCCTCGTGCATACTAAGCAAGCGTCCATTACTTGGTAGCTCAGCTTTTTTTTTTTTTTTTTTGTGAACATACTGTACAGAGGGGTTACAATTACATGGGCAAGATAATGCAGACATTTCTTACCAAGCATTGCAGCCTCCTCCTTTGTTTACCCTTCACATTCCTTTCCAGCCTCCCCCTGGCTCCCCACCCACCCCCCCCCCCCGCACCAAAGTTGTAAAGCTTGTTTTCGACATGACAACTTGTACTTCTCATTGTTGCAATGGGTCCACCTGTATCCTTAAACAACTTGTTTTCCCCATCTCCTCCACAAATATACCGACATCAAATATAGTGAAAGCAGGGGTTATACTGTTGGGGAGGGATATACAAAGCAACAAAGAAATAATACAAAATAAATGCGTTAGATACAAATGCATGAAAGAAAAATTTAAATACATATCTAAGGGTTCATTTTCCTAACATCACATTATCTGACCTTTTCTGCTTAGTAGCTCAGCTTTTTGTTTTCTTGTGTATGTCTGAGATGAGGTCTCACTAGTATTGCCCAAGCTAGCCTCAAACTCATGATCCTCCAGCCTCTGCCTCCAAATGACTAGGATTACAGGTGTATACCTGCATACCTGGCCTGAACTTAACTTTCTTTAGCTATAAAATGAGAATAGCAATTGTTCCTTTGTTGCTTCGTGGCAAAGTTTAGAGATAGGGTATGTAAAATATGTTGCCATGGATTCCAGTATGCAGATGATGCTCAGTCAGTGGTGTCTGCTGTTGATGAAGGGAGCAATGGAGGAGATGGTGGTGGTAAGGCAGCGAGAGTGATTTTACAACCTACATCCTAAGATTCTTGATTTAAGGCAAGTACCTATGATCTTCTCAGAGTTCACATGACTTGCAGATAACAAACTGAGCTAATGTAATCCTGCCATTAATTTATTCTTATTATCTCAATTTTAACTGTATGAGAGCTTACAAATTGAAGTGCATAGAAACAGTAAGTACATATCTGATGCTCTGAAAAGCTAACACATCATGGAAAATATAGAGGCTGCCTTATTTGTAGACCCTAGGGTACAAAATAGACAATAAGTGAGAATATGAGCTTTTGGCCCTCATAACTTACAGGTCAGCACAAGATTTTGAGCAAATCATTTTAGAATTTCTCAGCCCCCGTTTTTCTCATCTAGTCTTGAGAGTAGTGGAAAGAGAGAGAAAAGGTAATGCATGTATGCATGTAAAGCATTAGGCATGGTGTGTGTGTCACACAATAAATACTAACTGTTAGCTTTAATGATCACTGATGGTCATAGTTATACACATTTGTAATCCCAGCTACTCTGCCGAAATACAGTGGATAACAGTTCAAAGCCAGCTCAGGGAAAAAGTTTAGCAAAACCGTATCTCAACAAACTGATTATGGTGGTACCTAGCTGCAATCTCAGCTATGTGGGAGTCATAGGTAGGAGAACTACAATGTAGTCCAGTCCTGCCTAGGCAAAAGTGAGACCATATCTGAAAACATAACTAAAACAAAATAAAGGAGGGTTAGGAATATGACGTAAGTGTAAAGAGTATCTGCCTAATAAGCATGAGGCTCTGAGTTCAAAAATCCCCATACTGAAAAAAAAAATCACTGATGATTGTGGTCACAGCCATTTATTATCCTGGGAATGAAGGCCCCAAATATTCATCTTTACCATGCTCTCATCACTGAGAAAAGAGAAGCCTTTCCAGTTCATTTGGGCATTGTGGATCTTAATTCCTCAAATCAAGCAATCTATATGAATCTTCAAACAGACTGTTTCAATCCACCATGACTGGGGGTAGTATAATGACAGGAGACCAAGTGTGGAACTGTGGTCAGTTGTCCACTGGGTGAGAATGAAATTGCTTAGAGTGCCAGAGAAGGTAAAGTAGTCCTAATGTCCCCAACATGTTTCTTGAAATCCTGTCAAAACAGGATTTTTGAAACTTATTTTTGGTAGTTTCCCAGCTCAGCATCTTTCAGTTGTTTTGTTGAGATACGAAGTACTTGTTGGACTGGACAAGCAGAGCCAACAGGATTGTTTGGATAACTGAATCTTCCACTGGAAGTCCTGTGATCTCTTTTGCTTCTTAGGCTTCTGACCCTCCTTTTGGAA